CTGCCGCCCCCCACAGTCGACCGAAGGGTTGTGAAAAGCTGCGGTGAGTGTTGCTGAGCTGCTGTTGTGCTCCCCCAGTCTCCTGGTGGTGGGGGACAATGCATTCTCCAAATACTCCGCACTTGTCTTTCAAAGCTCATTATCAACATGCACCCAAAGTTTTGCCTTTTCTGACCACAAACTAACGTTACACAGCTGAGCACTGAGTTCCATATTTTTCTTTGTGTTAACATTGTTCCACAAATCGATTTTTAGCCTTTGTCGATCGATTCACAATCGTATAAGGCCGGTACATTTTCACTTATTGTACTATAGCATAAAATATGTCAGTAATCACCCCACCTCTGATTGTTGGTGCTTTTACGTGTCTTAAAAAGGCGGTAAACTACAGAGGCTGTCGGGGATTTTACACATCATGGCTGAACACGGAGACTCATCTGCTCACTAGTCTGCCTTTACAGCCTTGTTGTTTTTATACTCATGACAGTAGCGAGATCAGGTCACGCTAAGCGGAAAGGTGTCTTTAGAAGAGGTGAACGCTAGAAATCAAATTACAAGTTGGAAGCTGTGGTGGTGACGCTGAAGTCATGTATTTGGGCTTCAAACATCCATCCATTATCTACAGAGCTTATTCCTGAACAGGGTCGCAAGGGAGCCAACACTGGGCGAGAGGTGGGGTCCACCCTGGACAGGTCGCCTGTTTATCACAGGGCTGACAAACCACCACACTCACTCCTAGGGTCAATTTAGAGTCACCAGTCAACCTAAGCTGCATGTCTTTGGACTGTGGGAGGAAGCCGGAGCACCCAGAGAGAAGCCACGCAGACACAGGGAGAACAGGCAGACTCTGCACAGAAAGGCCCCGGGTCAGCCGGGACTCAAACCTGGAACCTTCTTGTTGTGAGGTGACAGCACTAACCACTGTGGTGTTCATCTGTGAAGATTGCTGAACAAAACATGTAGGGGTTATAAACTTTTGTTTGTCACAGAGCTTATTTTCTGCACTAATCCCAAACCTTATGGAAAAATCCTGCTGGCTTTTGTCAAGGGAACCAGGGTGATGCTAACGCCCGGGCTGGTCTACAGAAGTACTTCATCCCTATGGCACTCTCTAGTACACTGTACTAAGACAGGTTAAGTAACACAGTCAGACTCTAGGTTTTTGAGCATTAGTTACTTAAATTTCTGCAGTAGAAGCCGAGTGCAGGCTCACAGTGTGTTCAGGTTCCATGGGCCCTGGTCACAGTGGTGACCTCCAGTGTTTGTGCTTCCTTCCCCAGGTTGGTTTGGACAGTAGACGCCTGAGAAGCCGGTTTGTGAAGCAGCTCCAGGACGGGACTGGTGTCTTGGACAGAGAACATCAAAAGGGAATGTACAATTTCTTTACAGGAATCAGAATTATTTACATGTCACAAAATGGAGGGAAAAACTTTTTCTAAGAGAATTGTTGCTCTTTACTTGAAAGAAAAAAACATGGATGTGCAACACAAAGGAACGACTTTAAAAAAATTCTACAAAGATTGAAGTGGAGTAAAACGAGACCTGAAGGCTGACGGACGAGCTAAAGGAACTTTTCTATAAAGAACAAAAGAAATAAAAATCCTCTCTAGGCTTTCTTTGATTTTCCTCACATGCCCTCAAAGTATTTAACTCGTGTATCATCATCTGTATTTTCAGTTACCTTTATTCATGTTTTTTTTAGTTTGGTTTGAAAAGCCAGATTGGGAGCGAGTTGGGTGTCGGACCCTGAGAAAAGAAGGAGAGCATTTTGTATTCTCTCATAACTAGTAGTTTATCTTATACATTTAGGACGATCACAATTATTCTTTTAGTCATTATTATTTTGTTTCCTCATTAGTATTTACTCATACAAATGAAATGGATGTATCTCACGTTATATTCAGTCAGAACATGAGTTGGGTTGTTTTTTTTCCGTTCCTGGAGAGGGAGCAGCCAGAGCGACGTTGTCTCTGTTGTCAGGGTCGAGTTTGCCACAAAGACATTATTGCCTTGGAGAACGGACATCGGTTGCCTTTCAAAGTCATGCGTATGAGTGAGGAGTGTGTGTGTGTGCGTGTGTGCGTGTGTGTGTGTGTGAGAGAGAGCAAGTGGGAAATGTTGATACCTGGGTCTTTGATTCCATTTTGGTCCTTCTGAAAAGTGTTCTTATTTTTCATCGCTGGGGTTTTTATGGTACAGATAGTGTTCACGAAAAATCAGATGGACACAATCTTATTTTTCAAGTACAAATGTTCATATTGTGCGAAGAGAAGGACAGAGCCTTGAGAGAGGAGGAGATAACACTACGGACTAATGCGTGTCTGCCATCTTTAACCGTGCATCTGGACAAAGATGAAGGACACGACACAGGAGTTTTCATGGGAGTGCGTTACATCCAACTGACAGCTGTCGGTCCCGGGGACTGTGATGAAACATTTCTGAATGTAGAAACTTTGGCGAGGGTGTCGTATGAGCGGCTGCGATTGGCCAGTGGGGAAGGAGCCTAACCATGTACTTTTGAATGGTTTCATTCTTGAGTGACTCAGCAGCGATTTGACCAAGACATGCAAAATCCATTGAAAAGAAGCATTGCCATAAAGTTTAAAAGTGAGTCGTACATGGTGTTGTCTTTATCATTTTTTATTTTTATTCTTGTAAAAAAAAAAAAAAAAAGCTCAAACTGAGAAGAAGACCGTTACACTATCAAAACCATGCTGTATTAGAAAGCTGTCAATATGTATATGAATTATGAATACACTTAAAATGCTTTAAATATGCTGCTCCTCTTATTTCTGGAACACTTTTTTGTTTTCCTTCCCAGAATCAGATCCCTGTTTTGCACAAATATTCTCAGACAGAGTTATCTCTGCTTAATTGCATATACACGTGCACGCTTCCCTTGCTGCGGCTGCTTCCTGCCTGTTCAGGACGTAGCCCCGCAGCTCGGACAGCCTCAGTATAAAACCAATTTAAAACTGAAATGTCTGAATTAAAAGCATTCACATGAAAGGTGAAAGCAGATTCTCAACACTGAGCTAGTGGCAGGGGGGGGGGGTCAACTTCTGATAGGGTTGGCGGTTCGATTCCCGGAGTCCACATGATGAAATGTCCTTGGGAAAGACGCTGAACCCCAAGTTGCTCCTGGCGGCAGAGCTGCCATGCCATGGATCTGTAAGGTGCTTTGTCCAGGTGTGGTAGAAAAGCACAGTACGAGTCGAGTCCATTTACCACTGGTCTAAAGCTACAGTAGGTAACTTAAGGCAGCACTAGCATGAAACTCCAAATCAACCCACTCTGCCCAGCGCTCCCTCTCCCTGCTCAACTCGGCTCTGAACAGCTGTTCAGATATTTGTCCTTGTGAAATGACAGTAAATGTGAATGCAACAAAACTTACCGATCAGGAAGAAATATTGAAAATCTCTGGTCAGAGAGGTCAGTCCTGCTCAGAACCTTTAGAAGCTAATATCTCTGCACTGCTGCCAGCGCTGCTCAGGCAGTCTGGGTCACAGGAGGCTTTTACAGCGCCTCTCCACATCAAGACACCTTTTGGAGCAGATTTCTACAAGAAAACTACCTGAAAAACACTTCATATTGTGGCATGAATGAAACTGCTGGTGCCTCCGTATTGTTAACAGTAGCTTAGGACAGCGGTTCTCAGGCAGGGTAACGCTGCAGCTGCCAGGGGTATGTGAAAAAAGTATTTAGCTAAAAGTAATAAGCAGTTTAAATAGCTATCCGAATGTGTTGACTTTATGTTTGAGATAGAAAAAAAAATCATTTCAAATCAGTTTTATTTGTATAGCGCCACATCACTACAATAGCCATCTCAGGCCGCTTTGCATAGTAAGATTACAGTACCATAGAGTATTATGGTGAAAAACCCAACAACTCCCCCTGAGCAAGCACATGGCGACAATAACATGGTAATCAATAATAGCAAAAGGGTTCAAAGTAAATATGATGATGATACAGTTGAAGTCAGAAGTTTACATACACTTAGACTTAAAAACCAAGAATTCAACTGTATCAACAAATGTTTTGCTACCGTAGAATTGTGTATGTTTAACAGCAGCACATTTGCGATATGACAGACGGGGCAGACCTCAACTTAAAACATCCCTGGGGCAGGAACAGGACCGACCGGGGACCACTGTCCAGTGCACCGATTGTGGTTGAGTCCCTTCTTGTGGCGCGACCCCCTCTCAGAGACATTGCGCTGCAAGGCGACACTGCCCATGTACTAATGTGCTTCTGCCATATTTATTCACCTTTTCAAGGTCATGGTGCGTTTCCCATCTGAACAGTCAGTGCTGAGAGTTTTTATGGGCAGAGAAGAGGACGGGAGATGAATGAAACAGATCAAAATGAGCTTAGGAATCAGAGATGAAAACAGATGGAACAGAGTCTGTTCTGGATTTATGTGGCCGGATTAAAGAAGAGGGGTGAGGACAGCCTCGCTGCTCACAGAGGTCGGCGTGATGATCAAAATCCTCCATCACTCTCACTATCTGATGAGGAGCACCGACGGTCGGACGCAGGGCCGGCCGCCTCCGTCACCTTGCATGTTTACTTGATGAGGGACCTGCAGACAAACTAGAAAGTACGAGAGTCTGAAGGAGGTGAGTGCTTTTTGGTTCAAATTGAATTCACTGCTTGACACCAGTGTTCAGAGGTTTGAGAGGTTCCATGGTGACTGCAGTTTCTCTGATGGAGCCGTCTGTCTTCCCACCAATTACCAGCAGTGTGCTGATTTTCTGTCACAGTCTCTTTATTCTTTAAACGCGATTAGTCATGTAAAACCGCTGGTTCTCCCACACACTCTCTTTCAGACTCCTCGCTAATCATCTCAGGCGACTAGGCAGAGCTGCTTCTCCTTGGAAACTAATAACATGCTGGTGATATTTTTAGTGACATGCAAGAGTGGAGGTGTACCTGAAGTCAAGGAGATTAACAGTGAAAGTCAGTGAAAAGCTTGAGATCCTCATTCCCCTGTGAGACGTTTCATATTCAGTGCTGACATGTCACTTCTTGCTTTTTGAGCGAAGAAGCTGATCAGAGTTTGCACATTGACCACGTCTCTCTCCATCCCTACTCTCCCCCTCGCCCAGCTCTCCTCTCACTTCTACGTGATGGCGTTCCTGCAGCAGATGCGTTCCCCTCTCCTCTCCTTCATCCAGACGGCCGTGTCGCTCTTCCTGGGCACCGTGGCCCTCATGTCCTCATTCTGGTGTGTGGGCAAACAGAAAGTGCCCAAGCCGCTGTGTTCGCCCACCAAGCACAGCGACTGCATCCCTGTCCCCGGCGTGTCCAACTCCTCCAGCATGCAGTTCTTCTGGGAGACTGGGGACGACCGCTTCGTCTTCCCCACCTTTCACACCGGCCTGTTCATCATCTGTGAGGAGAACATCTACACAGACACATGGGGTATGAGACACATCTGAGCATGTTAACTGTGCCGATAAAGGGGGAAATGGGAGACAAAATAAACAGATTCCTCACTGGACACCAAGGTCAAAGTTGGCTTGTTTCTTTTATCAGCCCAGAGTCACTAAGCAGGTAGAGAGAGTGCTGGATTTGTACAAAGAAGTCTGAGCAAAGCACTGACAGAACTCAGCCATGCATGTTTGCACTATACACTCATCACTGTAGCATCACTGGAGGTGACTTCGCCCCAGAGGAGATTCCCAAGGTGAGACCAGGGCCCACACAGAAATGGTGAATCCTAGCTGTGGCACTGGTGCACGAAACCGTGAGACATGAGGCGATAATGTGAATCGAGGTCTCAGGTGTGTTTCTGTCTGTGCATGTGTGTGTTTGATTTCGTGTGCAGCCCAAAGAGGATTACCAGCAGAGATTTAGACTTCAGCATGACTCAATTATGGATTAGAAACCCAGAGAGAGAGGAAGGTTAATGGGATCCACAGAAATCAGCCTGGCTCTGTCCGACTCGTTTGCAGCTGAATTGCAACTGATTTTAAGGCCTGAGTTTGAAGGATAGTGAAGTTCAGCCAAAGGTGTCAGTTATGTTGTCAAATTTACTCTAAGCCGGTTTTCTTATTAGCAGCAGTAGACAGTGTTGTAGTTGAGTCCCTAAACCTCAAGTCCAAGTCAAGTCTCAAGTCCACAGTGTTGGAGCCAAGTCCAAACAATAGTCTGATTCGAGTCCCTGAGTCATTAAAGTCTACATTAAACTCGGTTGACACAGCTCTCATCGTTTTAAGAGGAGTTTCTTATTCTGTGCTTATGTTGGCAATGAGTGGATCAGAACTGCCGTGAATGATGCATCAGTTGCTGGTTTACATGGACCAGATCCTGAGGCTCCAAACTTTCTAATGGTGCATTGCATCGCTGTATTGCTCAGGGACTCCAAACATCAAAACCATTTATAGAAAGGCAGCGTGTACAATTCAACAGAAGTGTGCCGGATACAGCATGGTGTGGGCGAACAGATTCAATGATCACTTTCTTAGGCCAAATTATTGTGGTCTATTTAAAAAAAAAGTCCAAGTCCTTGTCTCCAACTTCCAAGTCCAAAAGCTCGAGTCTGAGTCCTCACTGTTCCAGTCCAAGTCGAGTCAGGACTCAAATCTGAGTCCTGGACTCGTGCACTATAACATTTGCAGTAGGTTGTGTGTTTTGCAGCTTTTGGCTTTTTCAGCAGTTGTTCGTTACATTAAGCTAGGTGCTAACTGCTACGCATTCATTTTTTACTAATGAATTTAAAGCTAATTGTTACAACCGTCCATTACTTTGGGCTATTTGGGCCATTTATCTGTTTCATTTAGCCACACGCATATAGATATAGATATAGATAATGAATATATAAATATATCTTTTTCCCAGATTAACAGATTACGCCTGGTATCCACAGAAGTACCTCCAGTTGTCAGTAATAGAGCCCTAACAGCACTTTCATTATGGCGATGAAATGACGACTGTACAGATTTAAACTCGATCATGTAAATGTCACCACGGTGATTACAACTTGGAGAATGTGCTTCATCTCTCATGAACATCACATTTTCAACATCTGTTTGAAGCCTTTTAATTCAGATATTTTAGTTTACAGCTCTAGTTACCTTTAAGTATGATCCATGCTGGTGCCTTTCAGCTCGTTGTTTTGGTCTTAGAGCTGTGTTAGTAAATGGTTAACGTACTGAAAACAGCTGGTGCTTCAGGAGGTGGTGGAGACCTAAACAGCCAGTTATTGTATCTTTATGTGGACCAGTCACTTGCAAAGCTCCAGTATAAACCAGCACAGTCGTTCAGAGCATTTGAATGAACGACTAATTCGTTTAGTGCAGCGGCTCAGTGCGCTTCAGCTTCAGCTTCAGAAAACACATGCAAAAGACAGAAAAAAGCAAATGAGCACAGCTTTTACAGCCATTTCTTTTTAAAGATGACTTTTAGACATTTTGAAATGAAGAATTTGACAGTGAAGAGGCAGAGAGGAAATGAGGGGAGGGACATTGGCTGTGCTTTTATGAAATGCTTTGAACGTGCTGTCAGGTTGGTGGAAATGTTTTCCTTGCCTGTTTTCTTAAGTTGCAGTGTGTTGAGCTTTCAGGGCCACCGTAGTTTAGAGCCAAAAGTGGCACTCTGATTATTGCAGCTGTCATGTAAACACATTGGTAAACAAGCCTCAAAGAGGCTTAACCGACAGCTGAGACAGTTTATAATGCCTTTTCTAACAGCAATGAAGGAAAAACACGGTGGTGAAGACAAAATTGTCTCATATTGGAATTACTAAGTGAAACACTGAGCAAAAGGCAGACGCACTGACAAAGCCTTATTGTGTGGTGCTATGAAGAGTTTTCCTGTAGGCCCCAGATCTGTACTGAATAAATCTTATAACCTCCCATTGAGTTACCTCAGGTCATGTGAACACTTGATGCAGACTGTCAGCTCAGTCGGGTTCTTCACACAGAGCTCAGACTTTAGTGTGATTGTAAAGGTTCAATACACACTGTGCCCAACTCGGGGAGTCAATGCAGACATGATGCTGAGTGCTGTGAACCGTCACTGCTGGAATAGTTACTGTTTAGTTCATGTATTGTCACTGACTTCATTTCCATTTATCTATTGATCTTCAGAGGAGAAGTGTCAAGGATTTTACACTCTGACTCCAGGATCTGAGAAAGGTAAAGAGCCCCTTCCCTGTCTGCTGCTTTAGATCCATACCTTCATCTGTCTTTGTGCTCAGCCTCTTCTCCTCCCTCCACAGCCATGATGTGGCTGTCGCTCTCACTGGAGCTCATGTATTTAGGTCTGCTGCTGATCAGCTCCACACTGCTGTCTGTGCAGCTGTGCATCAGGGCCTGGTTTCCCTCCACGCAACGCTGGGGCCAGCTGCTCAACGCCTTTGCTGCCGTCTTCACAATCCTCGGAGGTGCTGTGTTTTTTTTTTTGTTAACAACAAACCACACTGACCAGTATTACCAGTAATGCAATGTTTCCTCCCTGTTGCTTCCCAGGTCTGCTCGGGATGGTGGGTCACATGATGTACATGCAGGTGTTTCAGACCACTGCCTCAATGGGACCAGAAGACTTCAAGCCTCACAGCTACGGCTACTCCTGGGCCTTCTAGTGAGTTAACTCAACCAGTGGCACCCTACGGTCACACAGGGTCCGACTGATATGGCATCAAGTCGCAAGGACCCAAACGTAATGAGTAACGTGTGCATGACTTTATGGATGTTTGGAATATGAAAAGCTCGGTGTGGACCTGGTGTGACGAACACGTCACAAGTCTTATTTTGTGGTGCTGTTAAGAGTTTTCCTGTACGATACGAGGTGATGTGATAACACTTTATTATCAGATCAAATCAGACCCCATCCTTTCAGACTTATACTGGACAAATCCCATAATCTCCCAGCAGGTTAAACACTGTCACCTCAGTCTGGTTATTCACACGCTGCTGCAGCATTAGGACTGAAGTGAGAGTTTATTTGGAACAAAGAATAAAACTGATGAGGTGTCACATCAAATAATGTGCTGCTGTTTTCAGTGTAACGCAGATGAGTTACACATCACTGTTTTCATTTTGATTTTACACACCGTCCCAACTTTTTCTGATGCGGGGTTGTAGAAGTATTAATGCTCATCTTCGGTTACATCCCACATGACAACATTTATTACACCACTGAAAGTACGAGGGAGGATTTTGAGGTTTCTTGGAGTATGAGTTTGTTTTTGCTGTGTCTCAACAACATCGGTCTCCGTGTGTCTCCGTCAGTGTGGCCTGGTTAGCGTTTACCGTCTGCATGTCAGCCGGCATCTCCACTCTCAACAACTACACCAAGAAGATCCTGATGGTGGGACCCAGGCGTAACTCCGGGCTCAACCCCTGCAGCTTTAACTTCATGGGGCTCCTGCCTCCAGCTCCTTACTACGCCCCTCCAAACCCTGGCATTGGCCTGGCCTGTCCCCCGTCTCCCCCCATGATCTCCCACCTGTCTCCCTTCTACGAGCCCCCGTCAGTGGCATTAGCTGCCTCCGCTCCGAGGCTCACCCACTCCCACTCCCTACCTTTCGCCCTCTCTGACTCCTTCCGTCCTCCCCCCTCTCATCCTGCGACTGCGTCCCCATTCCACTGCCCTTCACTCCCCTCTCCGTCTTCGTCACCTACGCTGTCCATCTCTGTCAACATGGCCCTGGCGGGACAGCAGGAGGACTGTTACGAGCCAGAGGACGACTGCAGCCCGCTGTGAGCTGTTCCTTTAGAGGAGCTCACCACCAAGGCAGTTTAAAGTTTATTTTCTCGTTATGTGCTCAGCAGCAGTGCATGCTGGGAGTTAGCTATGGTCATAATCACTCTGCTCCAGTATAGAAGGGGCAAATAGATACAGACCTCAAGATGATCAAGACAACCACTGTTTTGTAAACTGAGCGAAATACAGAAATGCTTCAGAATATCCCAGTTTTATTTGAAATAAACGTGATAATCAGACTTAGAAACAGTTTGCTGCCTTGAGATGGAAATAAATCAGTGGAGCAGAACTACATTGTTTATTTCTACTCTCTGTGACAACTGGAGAAAAACAAATAGTAACATCGACGACTGGTTGAAAATCAAGTTTTAATATTGTAAAAATAATTGTCATCCATAATGAGAAATAACGGTAGCAAAAATAAAATTGCCATAAACATACAAAGCGGGGAAACAAAACATATTTACACATTAGTATATGTCACGCTTTAAGAGTCGAGGCCTTTCTGTCACGCCGTGTGGGGGCAGCTGATTAGTCAGCAGTATGTGTCGTGTTCACAGCCAGACTGGACAAGTGACGACTTGACTTGACTTGTGTCGTATGTTGTGTTTGCTCCAAATTATTTAAAGTCTGGAGTTAATTACTTCAAAATAGGATGTGGTTCTGGGATAGGGTTTGACACTGTCGGCCATTAAAGGCTGAAACCAGTTTGATAACTATCACGAATAATTACAAAACAAACTCAGCTGTGTTACTGTATTGATTTAGACTTTATATCATTACACAGTCATATAAATGGGCATTTAGGCCATTAGGACTTCAAACAGGCACATGTTTACCTTTGATAATCGATGGCACCGGCATGTAGTTACACTTGGTTTAATTAGTGGCACGTTACATAAAGACATACCAGAGCAAGTAAATGGAATAACTTCTATGAAGTAACAATATGAAAACAAAAAAGAGCTAAAATCAAAAATGCACCCCTTTTTATCAGACACACATCCAAAAGTAAATGTACATTACAAAAAGAAGACCACAGATTTGACTTTTGAACCTGCTTTAGTTTTAATCCAGGAATGTTGACAGATCTTAATTTATCATAGCATCTTATAAACATTGAGGCATTTTTCTGTTTAGATAACAAAAATATTTCTAATCCTTTGATACCCTCAAGAAATCTCGCACCAATCTCTGGGTTGAAAATCCACTCAAATGCAGCTGGGTTTGACTGAGCCTGCCTTTTACTGCAGACACAACCAAAACAGCCTGATGATCTGAGAGCAGGCCCAGTTAAACCCCAGAATGCATTTGAGAGGATCGGCACGTCTACTGTATTTATAGCTGAATGTACACTAGCAGCTCCAATCTGATGTCCAAACATAAACACCAACCCATATGTAACTAAACTCAGATTTAAGCTGAGAGAGTAGATGCAGCCAGAGGGGTCAGGCTGCCTGGAGACAGCACTAGTGTCCTTCTCATGCAGTCTTCTTGCGTAGCACAAAGTAAGTGATGGAGGAGATGAACGTGAGAACGAAGGAAACCCACGCCAGGATATAGCAGTGACCATACCACCCAGTTTTCTCATCAGTGTGGAAGCGGTCTGTGTAGATGGAGGCTGCGATCATGATGCACAGGCCTGAACAAAGGCAACATCAGAGTGAGGAACACAGGAGAGAACGGGGGACGACATGTAACAGTGGGTGGCATATGGAGAGGGAGAAAGAGGCGACCATGAGACACTCACAGGCGAGGAACTGGAAGACGCCGGAGACCGTGAACCTCTGTCCTTTCTCCAGGGTGAAGAGCTGGGCCACGAACACAAAGATGCCCAGGATGGAGAATATACAAGCTAGCACTGCGCTGGCCTGCACCGCCTGGAGGTAATCTGCAAGGGGAGGCAGAGAGAGATGCTGTGAGTGGATGTGTGCGTGTTGTGTCCTAAATATGTGCTAAATGTGACACACCCAGGAAACGCTAACATTGCAGTCACACACCATCCTCGGAAAATCTGGTTCACAGCTGAATGCTAGGAATGTTACAGTCAAAGATCCTGAATGTTCTAGGATATCAAAACATGCCAGCTATGTTGCCACGAAGAAACAAACAACTACATTTTATGTTTTCAAGGCTAAAACTATCCATCAAGCTCAGAAGGCCAAGATGAGTCAGTTTTGCTACACAGTTCTGGCGAGGTCATTTTTAATGTCCAGTGCAAAAATAACAGTTTGCACAACTGGAGCCACATTGTGTGTCCCTAGTTGATTTGCATGTGCACGTTAGGGTTGGGCAGCAAAATAAATAGCACAGCAAAATGAGAATGCCAATACATGTCCTCTTATTGTTCCCACTAAAAAAAAGGGTTTAGTGACGTTCACTTGGCTTCTCTCCTACATGAACATGTTTTCTACCAAAGCAAGAAGAGTTTCAGTTGTAGCTGCGTCTCTTTATGTCTCTGGGCTTCAGGCACTGGTTTGAAGTGGGCGCGGCTCAGCTGCAGAGAGATTATGTCACCCATTTATGTGCACCAATCAGGGTGTAGCAACTTTTGAATCCAAATCGGATGACAGTGGGAGGGTTGTGTAGTTGCCGTCAGTCAAATCTGACCCGGCCACACCCACATGGACCCTGATGAAGCAAGTCAGGGGTCTTGATAAACAGGCGGGTTTCCTTTTACCAGTTTTATCTACATTTTCAATTTGTGCACATAAAAATGTCAGCAATAAAAAAAAGAGGTAAAGAGTTGCTCTTACTGCTAAAAGCAAAATGTGATAAAGTTTGGTGAAAACAGACTCAGTAGGATGAAAAGCAACAACAGACTGTGTGTGGAGCGACGCACAAAACTAACAAATGTCACATTTCCATCATGTTTTCTACTTCTTTTCACTGGAGCTCTTTTAATTAGATCATTCTATTACACCCTCTTCTTCTGCAGTGGTCTATTGGCATCGACCAGAGAATTTGCTTCACCGGCTGTTTATCCCCCAGTATCCACATAACAGGAATGGATTTTTTAAACTTTTATATTTTAAGCATGGATATTTAACATTTTAGAGAAATACTTCAGATTTGAAGCCATGCTTGTCATTAATGGTTGTTGTTTCAACCAGAAGCAAAGTTTTTCTGTGTAGCAGAAAATCTGTGAAACACTCGAGGCATCGTGATCCACCACATCTTTGCAGGATGGGTCTTACCTTGTGGGTAGGATGATATTACAGGGAGATCAGTGTAGTTCCACTGCCCTTGTTGATTTATCCACCGGGCCCACACATCAGTGTACATGGTGTCGGACACCCACCAGCCCTGAGGGTAAGGTCAAAGCGTTTACAGTTCAGATTATGTTACAAATGGCTACACTTATTATCAGCAAGCCTCTTACGAGCTAGCTGAGTCAGAAAAATGGGGAGAATTCACAACAGAAGTGGTAGTAAACACAGTGGCCAGAGTGTGTTCTTGTATTTAGGGGCGCTGCAGACAGAGGAATGCACGTTTGCCAGTCAGTGTAGCATTCCACAAATCTCACACTCATGACGGCGCAGTCAGGAATCTCACATGTTTGGATGCACAGGCGTGCTTGGATGTGCCGAGTACACCTGACACCTTAAGTGCCATTTAAATGCATACGCACAGTGACGCAGGGTCATGACACCGTGGTTTCATCCAGGAATGTCACATATGTGGCCCTGAGGGGAACAGTGGGCCGTTGATAGAGAAGGAACGGAGTGATAAGCATGTAACTAACTTCTCAGTGCTGTCAGTTTAGTGTCGGAGTAGGGAGAAAGTTAGGAATTATGCTGGTGTGGTTGTGACTATGAAGCTATGCATGTGACTGTGTGTGTGTGTGTTGATTCGTTGTACATGTGTGTTGACATAAAACTTTAGCAGTTCGAAACGCAGGGCAGTCTTACTTACATTGTCGATGGTAGATACCAGGAGGAGGATGATGCCAATGATGTGAAGAACGAAAATGGCAGCGAGGAGAATCAGCATGATGGCTGTGCTGGAGAGAGGGAGGCACAAAGGGAAAACTTGTTACACCACTTTTTGTTATTCGGCAGGATGACTGTAACCGGAGGGCTAAGCCATACTCAACTGAAAAAGTCACACGCTCACCAAACAGGCTATCAGCTAATGTGAGCAGAAAGAACAAACCTGGCTCACAACAAAGGCTCCACACTTCCTGCTTGGCTTCAGAAACGAAGCCATTAATGACGGCCCCAAGCGCACACACACACACACACACACACACACACACACACACACAGAGGTGTTCATAAACACACTGAGAGAGAGCAGCAGAGCAAGGCCAAGACCTGGCACCCACTCAGGGCGTGGCTCCCAACATCTAATCACTCTGAGTTCCAGCTAGCACACTGCCAGTGAGAGGCCTGCAACCGTGACACAACGTATGAAGAAGACGACAAAGCCAGATGGGCTGAGGTGTATTTGTGCAGATGGAGCTTCGTACATGAATTGGAAGAGCGCGAGAGTGTTTAGGAGGAAAGCTGATGATGAGTAGATGAGTTTGGACTTGTCCTGTGCTTCAGTGAAACCCGCCACTCCTTAAAATAAGTGCAGTGAATACCTGCTCTTCCCTCCTTAGCCTTCTCACACCTGATCCCCCTGGTTTGAATTATTAAACACTAGCACACCCTGTAGCCCTGAAATCAAGCACTTACAAGCATCTAAAAACTCTGTTTTCCATGTTCCCTCAGGACTGCCGCCGTCCTACTTCATCAGCCCCTTTACAGGTGGCTCTGCCCTGAGATGTCAGCTGGAACAGAGATGAGGGCTATCTGGGCCGGGGGTGTGAACAGAGGAAGAGGCACATCTGGAATGTGCTGGTTATCTCCACTACACAGGAGCGGTCAAGGGCTGGGTCCACACTCACACACACGCACACAGGCTCGCCAGCTCCCTCTCCCTTACACACGAGACACACACACACACACCCATAAAGGCCACAGAGCGCCAGGGACAGGCTGATACACACGAGATCAGGCCTGACACGTAAATCAGCTATTTTCCACCTTTGATCCACGTCAGGCAGCTGCACTAAAGCGTGAGGTTTCTAAATATTTGCTTAGTAGCCTTTCTGCCTGAAGCGCTAAGAGCGAAACCTCAGATATGCTGTGGAGATGTCTTCTGCCACATGAGCAAACTTTAATGAACAACTTCTGAACGGAAAAAATAACAAGAATACTCAGCAGTTGGATGCTCGTAGAGTACTTTGATCAAATGTTTTCCAAACTCTCTGCTGACAACATGTCGGCTGCTGCTGCTGGGAGTCTTACAGCTGGCCTGGAAGCCACATATTTTCCATTACACAAAACAGAATACGTGTGTCTGGAGCTGCGTTGGAGGGGGCCAAAAATATCTCCTCCCCAAAAAGAAGTACCAAAAAAAAAAAACCCTCTTTACAGTTCAACATTCAAACTAGTCATTTCAGTGCACCAGCTGCTGCAGGAACACATCTGGCCAGTCACAAAGGAGTTTCTTCAATAGCAGAAATACCTGTGAAGGTGAACTGTATGTGGCGTGCGCTCGCCCTCGCGCACACACACAAACACACACCTATAGCTTTCTTATATAAAAATAAAAACTGCTGAAGCGAGCCTGCGGGACAGCTCCTGTTCCAGCACCACAGATTTAAGATTCTTACCCAGATGCAGAGAAGTAAAACACAGTGAGGGAAGGAAACAGCAGGAGAGGCTTTCACTTACTGTTTGATGGCTGTCTGTCTCTTCAAGTCTAATTCCTCCTGCTCACAAGGATACTAATTTGAGACTCGCAGTCTAAACGCACACACACTGGAAACTACCCGTCCGCCCACTTTTACCCTGCCCTCTTTTTTGAGTCCACACCCCAGACAAGACTCTGGCTTCTCTTCCTCTTTTTCTGCCCCTTCCTCTGCTTCTACTCGACTTTTTGCTCCCTGTCCCACCCTCTCTTTCTTTCTGTCTGCTTTGCACACATGCAAAAGCTCAAACCAGCCACTATTTCAACAACTTTTGTGGGCTGGCGGCAGATTTTCCTCTTGTGCTTGACGTCCTGTGTCTTTGTCACTCAGCTGGTGGCGGAGATTTTCTCAGGCAGGGCAGCTGATGACTCACTGATGTTTGGAGAGGGAACTCCCATAACATTGGCCATCATTGTGATTCTACTCATGGCACCATGGCGACAGACCGCAGCACGCCTGATCACAGTCGCATAGCCGCTGCATATATATGTAAACAAAGAGTCAAACTTGGGCACATAAACACACAACCGACAGTGCAAAGTTTCTTCCTGATCACCACCCTCTCTCTTTTCCCACTTTTGTTACAGAGGAAGAGGTTTCAGGATGAAGGAATGTTGTTGGCTGCCAGGGAGAAAGAGGTTGGGGCACATGAGTGCAAGTCATAGCTTGAGTGAGAAGCGTGGAGGGAGGGAACGAGTAAGGAGGGAGGGGTGTTGTTGGAGACATCTCACACTGCTGTGAGTTCATCAGTTGTTACTCACCGTGTCCCTGGTCAGTTCCAGTGAGTCACAGTCAAATGGTTTCTGACCACATCACATGTATTAGTTGAGTCTGAGAAAGGTTGGACCGCTCCGAGACTTTATCTGCTAAGACCACACCATATAAAACATTTACTTCTTCCTCATAAAGCTCACTGGTAACAAACTGTGGTTGGATTCCTGTGACAAATCACACACAGTGCAAATGTCAGCACCTCGTTGCTAATCGTTTGTAATAATCCAAAAAAAGTTGTTTTCAAAGAACCGGACCACAGAGTAGTGTCTTTTTGTTGTCAACATTCAGAAACTACATATCAGAATTTTTATGAAATGGCTGGATTTTAAAAATGTTGTGAAGGTTTTTGGGGAGGGACCTCAAACGGTAGGAAATGTATTTAGTTTCCAGCAGTGTTCGTTCAGTTTCACACTTGAAACTGAAGCGTCAGTTGAAGAGTAAACAATGAAGCAATCAAGGCGCTGGAGATAGTTCAAATATGTGCACTGTGAGCAGCTGAGGTGTCAACTGGTCTGTTAAAGGAATAAAAATGATTTTGGGTGTCTGCTGACATGTAACAGGGTGAAAGCAACTGAACTGTCAGTGAAAGAGGAAGTGTTGAAAACATTTTAAATAACATTTTAAGTTGTCAATCAGCCCCACCCACTTCCCTTCCTCACAAAAAAAACAAAAAAAACAAGGGGGAGCGGATGAGGTCTAACAATACTAGCACGCTAACAAAATCCCAGGTGGGAAAGTCTGATAATATGCAGATAGAGACAGACAAAAATACTGTGGGTGTGGACCCGGAGATCGAGGCCACTTGTTTGCTTCTGGTGAGTGTAAAAATAAGCCGATACACTAACAGAAGTCTGCGTCAGAGGCTCAGCAAATCACCTGGTCAGTATCATGTCAGGCTGCCTCAGGTGTGAGCCAGCGGGATAATAACAGGCCTCAGGAGTCAATTACCTGTCAACACAGTGACCTCAAACAGCAGCAGGCTGCTTGAGCTCTGTGGGGTCATGGGGTTACACACACATGTTGGCGTTTAGTTTTTTACACAGTTGTCATGGAAAATGGCCTTTTTCACGTGGGGACCGGGACACAGAAAGAGCCGGCGCCGAAGGCTTCCACTAGATGATGCTTCTGCCATGGTAACACAGGTTTCTGCATTTTATGCACGTTGCTCATCTCCATGACAACACTATCAAACTCAGTGGAACTCTCAGTAAACAGGCGGTATAGAAGAAACCGGGGCCCTAGTCGGTGTCACTACGTTAAGTAGTTTTAAACCCTGGTCGTTTAACACAGCTGTATTTGTTTGTAGCCAGAGTTTAAGAATAATGAAACCACAGTTTGACAAATTTGACAAAAGGTCAATATTTAAGAAACAACTGTGATAAAAGTCAGTACACCTTCCCTAGTGAGCTCTGTTGTTTTATTTTTCATGTTTCGTGTCCACTTTTACTTCAGCCGGCTGATGCTCAGCTGCTCTCTGCTGGAGGAGTCTGTCGTTGCTCTGCCTTCAGCTTCAAAACATTGAGTTGCTCTCTGCAAAGTGGGTCAGGCTGGAGATTTCACTTGGATTGTTGCAGTGAGTCCGGATCATTGTCACGTTGTAAACACGCCTGTTGAGACGGGGAGTCCACGTTTCACTCAGTACTAGGGGACGACCCTGCATTCACAGAGCCATCTGTAAAAGTCATCTTCTGCACTCAAGCAGCCTCACACCAGCGCACTCCCACCTCCACGCTGACTTTGGTTTCTTTTCATGTCCTCTGTTTCATCTGCAGTCTGTGCTGTTGGGCAAGCACTGGCTGTCTTCAGGACTTTGTGCAGTGCCCTTCACTCTATCTGATCAATCAGTGAAACACCTGTTACCACAGACCACCCTTGGGCCAAGTCACATGCAGTTATTTGTCTGTTTTCAGTGCGAGGTTGTGTAAATAGTGAATTGTGTGTGGAGTCATTTTTGAGACTGGCCACTGCTCCTTCTGGTATTGGTTGTATGGCTCTTCCTGCGCCATCCTTCACCTGATGCTGCTCTCGTTCACATCTTTCTGAAGCCTCACCGCCTGCATGTGGAGTCCTGTGGCATTAGGCACACAAGCTCTGGTGTTCACGGGGTTTTTTATAACCTTGTTCATGCCGTTAGCTTTTACTTTTGTTGTTGTGATCACAGGTACACTTATTTTTGTTGCAGTGAGGCTGAACTCTGGGGCCCGGGTTTTCGGTGGAAGTCTAACATGTCTATCTAACCTGTCTGACCATTTACCAAGGCTGACGTGAATGAGTGTTCATCCGCTCTTGTTTGACAGTCTGAGTATCAGACGCCACACCTTGATCATACTGCTTAACATCCTGAAGTGTCCCACCCAGATTTCTGTGGGAAAGAATGTCAGTCCAAATTCTGCAATTCAGGTTTGGAACACATCTGTGTACCCTTCTCCACATCCACACCACCTCTGCCACATCCAGCCAAAAACCACCACCAACACAAACGACTTCACCCGAGCCGACAAACTGTTCTCTCCGGGCGGCGCGCGGCCTCATACGTCATGACGGCACAATCTGTATACCTGACTTGATGTTTAAAAAACATGACAGTGACACACCTGTAACTACGACATGCGCACACAGGATGAAGACAGTATGGGGCTTATAAAAACACAAGTGAGAAACAGACTGTAAAGTAGACATAGGTGGGAATGGAGAATGTTGTTGGACCTGATTCTGCTCTGGGCAGGTCACACACACCTTGCAGGTGAGGTGAGCCAAGGTTTGTACTGTAACGTACAGTAAAACACGGCTCTGCCTCCATAGCGTACAGTTACAGAAAAATAGTTACTGAGAGAAACCAGCAGGCAGAAAATCTACTTTTCGTCACTACAGTTATGCAAGAATCAGGCCTTTTTTAAATTCTCAGTATATTTTTGGAAGAGGAAATACCATGAGTCACACAGCAGTCAGCTATCATTTTAGAGTAAAACCTTGGTGGGTGACTAACCGCTGTCTACTAGCGTATGTACCGGAAGGCAGGACTGATGCTTAGCCACAGCACCATGACCCGTTTTGTAGAGCCAAACACAAGTCGACAAATCACAAGTCTGTGTTATCTACTGAAGGAGACCAATAGCACGGCTTGCCCAACAATTGGCTCTTTGTCATGGGCCCGCTGCTGATTAGTACTGGAAAAACCAGAGTCAAAAAAGATGACTTGAAACAGTTATGATATTGTCTCAGATGCCAAGTGTTGTGTGCACAAGCACTAATGATGATTCCTTGAAATACTTTCTTAGGGTTGGCTGCTTCGGGGTGGTTCTGTTATTTCCAGCAAACAGTTTACTGCACACTGTGGGCTCATTAAAGAGCTGAATGCACAGCTGAATTAGTTATTGAAGAATAACAGGAATAACAGAGAACTGAGCTACATTACACTGTGGAATATAAGCTATGTGGCCTGTTAATAGGCAGTAACTTCGCTATCATAGACCGCTTGTCACATCTTGTGCCTTGGAGCTCTGACTCTTTCATTCTTAATTACTGGTTGGTTGTACAGTTGGCAGCGTTAGACATTTATCTCTGTGACATGCTCTGAAAAAGAACACCAGCTAAATGCCAAAAGTATAAATTAGATGTAAACAGGCAAACAGGGCCTATAGCAGGATAGATCGCTATTTTTGGTTGAGTAATGTCAAAATCCCTTAATGAAGGTGCTTGTGAGGAGTCTCAGTGAAGGAACATGACTGTCTGAAATAAAGCCAGCAGAGCAATGTCGACATTCCTGAGGAGTCAGCCTGACCACAGCCAAGTCGCTGCAGCTTTACACAATAGCAAACCTTTCTGTCTGTGGTCGACTGTCTCCCTCTGCTCATTCCTTCGCCGTCTTGCACAACGTCACACCCTGCCCTGAGATTTCTAAACTCGTATTATAAAAGCAGCCGGAGTGTATTCAAAAACTGGATTTCTGGAGTTCTTATTTGATCGAGGCGGAGCAAACAAAAAAGAGCTAATGTGAGAAGTTTTGTGTTGAAACTCTCACCTCACCCCAGGCTGTCGACCGGCGCCTTTGTCCCTGCTCTTAGTGTCACTGAGCTGGTTTTTGTAGTAAGCCACTGCACATGCATGTCAGCGGAGAACCGAACCACACACATTCTCACGCACGTGTGCTCACACTCACATGCATGCTTACTTCACATATACACATCCTCATCTAACTCCAAAAGTAGTGATGCTCTTCTCAAGTGTCTGGAGACAAACATCCATAGACATATTGTACGTACATACATGCTCATTAACCTCTGAGGGAATAACACACTGCCATAGTCACTGGAGACAAAACACAGACAGTCTGTCCTTCTGAATTCATTCACCTTCTGCCTTTTAGGAGTGAGATGATCAGTTTCATCTGCTAGGAATCGTCACCTCCCCAGTGTGTGTTCATGTTGTGGCCTTCTGCTTCCTAGCGACTTGTTATAAAGAGGAAACTTTAGCCTCATTTCATCACTAAGACAATGGAGAAGGTCTCTTTTGACATCTATATTCAGTTGTTTATTAAGTATCGGTAAGCTGGTAAGTATTGATGAGCATGTGTAAAAAAAAAAAACATTATATTCTAAAAGGTGTTCCACAGGGCTCAATGCTTGGTCCCCTCGGTTTGTCGTTATACATTTACACTCAGCCAAACTGTACAAAACTATACCCACTGTTAGTGCCTGATGATCCCAGCAATTTTAATTAATATAGCTTTTGTTTAATTCTTGATTTTGATGAATATTACTTAAAGTTTATTTGTATTCAATTTAAATTGAATTTTTAAATTATTCCTACTCTACCCTGTTGTATTTGTATATATATAGGCTTTTTTCATTTTAAATAGCTAAAATTGCTATTTGCGTTCATCATTCATGAAATACCAGCAGTACCAGTACCCGTCCAGCAGAACGGCCCGTGTCCCAGTAACGTCTCTGATACTGGATCATAGTAACTAATTACTGTGTCCATCACTTTAATGCTGCAGCTGGTAAAGGTGGAGCTGATGGTAACTACCTTATATACTTATACTGGGAAGTACTTTCCATCCTGCTGGGTAGCTGGTGGATTTCCTACTGGGATCAATAGAGTCTGATGGTTCGACTGGGTTTGGTTTGATTCATCTGGTTCTGGACCTGAAGGTATCAGGTACATGTAGTGTAGTAAAAAGTACACGGTTTGTCTCTGACATGGAGTCACAGGATGAAGGAGCAGGACATGGACGTACTCTAATAAAATACAGATACATGGGTAAATGTACTTTGTAATTATTATTAAATGGTTTTCTGTTCTTTACACACCTGCTCACTATGAATAAATGCATTTACTTTTTTCACAAACACTGTGTTTTGGGGTAAAACGTAGAAAGGCCTTTTTGTTGGAGCCAGAAAAGAGACACTACATCAGGGCAAACAGCCATAGGAGACGGACAGAGCTAAACTCTGAGCGAGGGAGCAGTTAAAATCTAATAAAGACATCAGACACTATGCTACGCACACAGCTAAGAGAATGACCTGTGGGCTGCCTGGATGAGAATCAGCAGGAGTCTGTTATGAAGCAGACACAGTGGGCAGAAGCAGATGTGAGCCAGTGAACTTGTGAAGGTGACAGAGCAGCTTCCAGTGCGGTGAACACTGTGCGTGTCAGCTGTGCTTCCCTAGACACCATTTACTTTCAATAAAAAATGAATTCCTCATATTTAGTTGAGCTGGCCTGTTTCCATGGTTACTGGCCAGTGGTTTTCATTCCTGATTCACTTCCTCACCACTAGTACTCTTTCTCTAGACTTCTGTTTTTCTTTTTCCTTTACGTTTAACTTCAGTTTCTCCTCACGTGTATATCTTCCCCTCTTTGGGAACATTTTGGCTCCTCCTGTTTCCTGCTCAGTGCCACCCCTGTGTTTATGCCACCCCCACAGTCCCTCACTCTTTCAATGAAATCCAGACGAGCGCTCTGACTGTACACCCGCTGGAGTCTAAAGAAAACAACTCCTGGCTGTAGCTAGGCAACTCAAATATGAGTCATCCCACTGCCGCGCCCATCATCAACCGATCCTCCCCCCACCCTGCTACTCCACACACTCACACACACACACACACACACACAGAGCTGCAGATCCTCTTTACAAAGTGTAGCTGTCCAAACTATTCAAAGTGTGCTGCTGGTGGTTTGTCCAATTCCCCGCCGCACTCCTCTTCTACCCCAGAGGTAGAGGTGGAACGACAGTCCGTACAAGTGAGACGCTGTCGGGGAACTAGCAGGCCGGTCTTGGTCAATAACATCATGACCACAATGTGATGACTAATCAGGGCTCGGCAGAGTCTCTGAATGTCAGATGGTGACCTTGGCTACACACTCACTACATACAACAGGTCCTATGAATCCCAGTTCCCCCAACATGACTTTTTTTTCTATTGATTAGATGATTGGTTCAGTTTTATAAAACAGAGAGAAGATTACATGACGAGATCTGCCATAAAGGCAGGGCCACATGTGTATGTGACCAAATCTGTCCAGCAGTGGGGCACTTTGGCATCGGCTGCTACGTTAGGTGTGTTCTAGTCATGAGCAGGAAGAAAAAAAGGGCGGTGTCTGGTAAGCAGTTAAAGAGGAATTCATGTACTTAACAGCATTAAAAAGATGACTGGATGTGTGTTTTTAGAGTTTAACTACTATAACCTCAAATACTTTTATGGTTAGGGCTCCTTCAAGTTGGAATAATTGACTAATACAGAACTGTTCTTTGTTTACTTTTCACATATTTACAGTTTTAGTCTCTTAAACAGCTATGCCTTTTGTCTCAAGATAGATAGATAGATAGATAGATAGATAGATAGATAGATAGATAGAATCAGTGAAATAAAAACTACCAGCTGCTGACGCGATGCTGCCCTCTAGTGGAAAGGTGCTTTGTGTTAATGTCTGGTGACATTGTATTCATATAAACCTGAAAGTAAATCACAAATACAATCTTTATAATCTGTGCACCGGAGCCTGCACGGCCCCCAGGTTAAACACCTAAACCGAAACATAATAAACTGTACAAGTCGATGCCTACTGAGCATGCGCCGCTTGGCTAATTAAGGTCAATTAGTGAACAGGTGTGTTGGCAGGAAGTCTACAAAGGCACAGCTGCTGGTGGCTCTGGCCCGGTGTTTTGGTGCACACACAGCGAAATTTGGCAATGTATGTGAAGCAAATCGGAGTCTGCTTCAGTGTCCTTTTCATTTCCACCATCACGATGATGACTGTACCTTCAGTGGGCCGGTGTGAGTCCACAGCTCGTTCCCCACAACCAGAACCCCCGGAAGCTGCTCATCATGTCCGGAGCAGCCTCTTAAGGAGAAGACGAGAGGCCAGAGAAGGGCGACAACCCGGCCCGAGGCGCGGAGAAGAGTCGGGAAACCCCCCGCTGTCTGAGGACGAGCACATACAGACTGAAACCACTGGAACAAGGCCGGAACGGAGGCCCAGGCCCAGAATGGGCCACAAACCGAGAAAAACGGAGGGGGAGTCGATGTTTTCCTCTCTCAGCCTTTCCAACCAAAACTGCAGCGTAGGAAAAATCAGATCTATAACTCGCGGAGAGTTTTACATAACGGGCCACGATGAAGCAAGCGCCTCCAATGTGAGCCCCCAGCCCAGTTCTGTCCCGGGTAAGAGTCCCAGTGATGACGGTGCTGGTAGTTCATCGGTTTAAAGGGAAAAGCCCAGGCTGTATGAAAATGCACAAAGGTTCTGTTATTTCATCTGTTTCTGTTGTGGGTTCAGAAGCTGACGCTCACTGCGTGCGCGCTGCGCTTTCAGTGTCCGTATCCCACCTGTTTCCAGACCTGCAGGAATATGAATGAATGTTGTTTGTTCAGCTTCACTTAGTATCACTTGGGTTTTAGTGGCTTAAATGAACAAGGTTTTACTCGTTCGGGTGGAAGAAGTCCCCTTGTTCGTAACGTAGTGAAACATCAAGTCTGTGGAACGTTTCTTGCTTGGTTTCAGTGGTGGGGGGTGAATTTAAGTTTAACTATTAGGTACTGGTGTGTTTTCATTTTAAGATACTTTACACTCCTCTACGTTTATTTCACACATTTGTTTACTGCAAAACACATGATGGCCTGATAAATGATGTTGCTTTTCTAATGACCTGCTCACATTTAGCTACTTTTACTAAAGTGTGATTTTTAAAAGCAGACCTTTAACCTGAAGTGGAGTACTTTTAGACTATGGTATTTATACTTGAATACAGGATTGGACTACTTCTTCCAGTACTTCGAATACAATGTCCAAAATCAGCACAAAGGTCTGGAGTTCTCTGCTTTTGGAACTGAACCATGCTGCAGTGTGGCGGTGGCAGAGGTGCCTCTCCCGAGCCAGATGTGGCATCTCTGTTTATAAGTGAACACTGTCAACACAAACTCATCTCAGTGCGACTGACGTTTATTTGATCTTTCTCTGAATCAAAGTTGCGGCCACATTCATTCTCTGAAACTCTGTAGTGCCTCATGTTCCACAGAAATCCATCAGCACTGTGTTCTGCATTGTGAGCTCTGAGCTAGTTTGTTTGTGTTGACCAGGCCTGCACAGGGTCAGAGGTCAGCCAGCCGGCGGCTCAGAGGAGAACTGGCTGCAACCTGTGGTGGAGTGTGGCGCCGACGCCATGACGCTCTCTGTCAGGAGGAGACGAGCTGCACAGCTGCTGCTGGACCGAGGTGAGGCTCCAGCTTTGTCTGAAATCCAGGCGTTGTCCATAGCTAGGTTTGAACTTGGCCCACAGCTGATAGAGCTGCTGTGATCACCTTCTTTATAAAACAAAGGTTGTGTTTTTGTCTTTGCTTTGTGTCTTAGAGAGCGAGTCGTCTGTCCCGCTGTCCCAGCTGCCGCCTCACTGTGGTTACTCTGTTCAGACCTCGTGGAGAGACCTCAGTCTGACGGCTCGTTGTGACGCCTGCCATGTCACACAGGAGGTACAGAGCCAGGCCGTTTAATCCCATCAGGTTATCACTGCCAACTTGAACCAGGTAGCCAGTGGTCGCTCAGGGTTTCTGCACGTTTTCACTACTGCATCCAAGTTTACTTTATAAGCACTTCACAGTAAATGTGAAAAGGCTCGTTTTCCTCCTTAAGTCAGTACAAAAGGTTTCCAGAGGTTTTACACATTTTATGTTTAAGAATCGTCTTAAAATGTCTGTTTCTCATCAGTCTACACACAGTGCTTCAGAATGACAAAGTGAAAACAGGACTTTGGAGCGTTTTGTTGATGTAATAAAAGTAAAAGACTGAAATATCCCATTTACATCAGTATTCAGAGCCTTTGAGCTCTGGTGCATCCTGCTCCGGTCAGTGGTCGTTGAGCTGCTTCTGCAGCTTGATCAGAGTCAGTCTGTGTCTAATGTAATGCTGGATACATTTAGGAAAGGCACACACCTGTCTAAGGTCTCACTGTTGGTGGTGTGTGTCAGAGTGAAAGCAAAGCCATGAGGTGGAGCAAACTGTCCACAGACAGGATTGTGTCAAGACTCAGATCTTGGGAAGGATAAAAAGAAAATGTCTGCAGCATTGAAAGAGTCCAAGAACACGGCAGCCTCCATCATTCTCAAATGGAAGAGATGTGGAACCACCACCAGTCTTCACAGATCTGGTCCCCAAGCCAGACTGAGTAGTCGGGGACGAAGGGCCTTGGTCAGACCGGTAACCAAGAACCCAGGGGTCACTATGGATGAGACCCAGAGTTCCTTTCTGGAGACGGGAGAACCTTATAGAAGGACAACCATCAGTTTGTCACGCACCTGTATGTTTCGGCTGAAGTGATGTGGTATGTTCTGGCAGCACTGTGACAGGACAGTGCGCCTTTCAGGGGTTGTTGGCTCATGTTTTCATTCTCATCTCATAAGACGCTGGTCTTATTCACAGAAATGTCTTTAACAGGTGTAAATGTTTTCAAAAACATTAAAAGTATCTTAAAATGCTGTTTGTTCAGGGTGACCGTTACGTGTTGTCCCTGCTGTGGAGGGGTTCTCCAGTCAAGGTCTCCTGCCCAGTCTCCCGGATGCAGCCTCGTGTCGGGGCCGTGCCCTCCCTGTGCTGCTCTCTGTACGGTTTGACAGTCCGAGTGCAGGGCCCGTCCGCTACAGAGGAGCTCAGGGTCAATGGCAAGTCTGGCTTTTCTATAAGCATTCACGTCACCTAATGATGTGTTAAACCTCTATCATCATCATCATCATCATGATATCTTCAGTGGAATTTGAGGGTATTTTTTTCCATTGTCACTACAGTGCGAGGAGAGTGGACCCCTGTGGCGGCGCTGGCTGAGCAGTGCGGCTACACCTTGGAGAGAAAAGACGCAGAAGTCGAAATCGCTGCTCCGTTCCCCTCGTGTGGCATCACAGTAAAGGTGAGGAAGAAGAGACTTGGGAGGGTACAGATCATAATGCTGTAAACTGTTAAAATAACATTGTTGGTACATTTATTTTTCTGTGCTCTGTAGCACAGGTCAGCACCAATATATCTGAAACGTTTGCTGCTCGATCCTGGTGACTCGGTGAAGGCTGGTGCCAGAATGATGCCACTGGTGACACAATAAGTCAAAACTGTTTGCATTTATGTAAAACTTAGAGTTGGTGATGGAAACATCGAAGCAGGAGTCAGTTTAAATTAATCCACTGAACAAATTCTTTAAGATGATACGTTCCAACAGGAAACGGTATCATAGCGTCTTTAATCAAAATGATCCATCTGCCAACTGTTAATGGGATGTTACCAAAACTGAAATACTTCAAATAGAAGTTTAAAAAATCCAGTATTTTTATGAAACGGGAAGAGAAAGATTTGATTCTTTATCAAACTCGGGTGAAGCCGCCGTCAGGCGAGTATCGTTTCCCTCTGTAAAGAAAAACGATCCATCTGTTCAGGAATCGTTCAACAGTCTGGACCTCTGCTAACTTCATCTGTACCTCAGAGAAAAGCAGTGAGTGCCACAGATCAGGACTTTGATACAGGTCTTGTGTACATGGCACTGAAGAGCAGGTCTGACTGGTTCTTGCACGAGGTCCCAGTGGCTCAGGTTTCCCCCAGCAGTTATATACAGTGTAATTTTAAGAAAGATATGACTGTGCATCCACACATCTTCCAGCACACTGCACCTAAACTGTCTTGGTGAATATGGGCGCAACATTTGCAACTGAAAGAATTATTGTGCACTCAGGCCTAAGAGGAGCCAGTGTGCACGACCAGTAACTGCTTATTTTCTCCAGTCTCTGAGAAAATGTCTGATCTTTTCCAGGATGGAACACATGTTCTGGTTCTTCAGCTAGGAGGCGAAACGTTCAGCCTGTCCTGTCCTGTGTCTCCACTTGACAAACGCCCACAGACCCGCAAACCTCTGACCCGCAAACCTCTGGACATCTCTCATCAAGCCAGAGAGTTGATGCAGCCTTTGTCGGAATCCCCTGAGCCTCTTCAGTGGGCTCCGCCTTTCTACCTGGCCCCACCGTATTATCCCCACCCTACATATCCTCTTAGACCTGAAGCATATCACCCTCCTACACCCTCACCTCCAGCTCCTCGCGCTACATTCCGTCCACAGCCTCTCCCTCCTGCTGATTCCCAGCCAGACTACCAGGACTACCACACCCACCGGGCTCATAAACCCTCTGGTGTGCACAGGCCTTTATCATCTACTGATGAAATGGAAGAGCCACGTTGGGTGTATCCAGATTTACAGCAGGAGCCTCTGTCTGAGAGGGATGGTGCCACAGCTGCAGGACCTTCTCTGCAGCCCCCCAGCCATGCCTTTAATCCATACTACCACTACTACCATCACCCGAAAATCCCTCTTTCTGGACCGTATCAAAGTCCTGATCCAGGTCCAGAGGTTCCTGAAGAACTCTCAACCATTGTTCTTAATGGTGAATTTCCAGTGTTGTATCCTGGCGTCCAGCAGCCTGAGGCTAACTCGGGGCAGTTTTCTGAGATGCTCCCTCTTCTCTACACTCCCCTGTCAAGCCCTACATTTGGTCACAGTGCTCCTGATCCTTGCCATCCACTTCCTTATCCGCTCCACTACTTGCATTACATTCCATATATTACTCGGGGTGAAGAAAAAGGATTGGCACCTCTACATCCATACCAGGCTGCAGAAACCAATTTGTCCTTTATTTACCCAGTTCCTCACAAGCACAACATGATTCCTTACGTAGCTCTGCCAAACGCAGACAGAGTGGTAAACGGTGAAGCATCCAGGTCAGAACAGATCAAACATCTACGTTTGTCTGGAGGAGATGATGATGAAAAGAAACTCAATGCACCAGTGACTCCTCTCCCACCCAGTTACCCTTCTGGACCAGACCTTGTTGCACCCCCTCCTCCTCACCTGTACTACCTCCACCCTTATCACTACTATCAGATGTATTATGGAGACACTGACAGCCATGCATCTCTGACTTCATCTAAAAAAGCGTTAGACAAACGTCAAACCACACCTCCATCTACAAAATTTGAGCATGATGTTCAGGAATTCCCTCTGCATCCTTACTACTACTACTACCAGCTCTACTACCAGCCTGAGGTCACTGGAGATGACCAGGAAGTGCATCTTGCAGGCAACATGGACTCTGGGAAAGCATCAGGATCTCAGCTTCCCTGTGAGTCTGACTCCAGCAGGATGGATCTGCTGGTTCATGCTGATGCGCCAGGTTACCTCAGCATGCACAGCCCCTTCTGTAGCATCTGGTCCCATTTTCTGACTCAGCAACATCTGTTTGATGCTGGGTGTCTAAATGGACAAGAAGCAGAAGAGAGGCCAGATAATGAAATCAGAGGTAAAGAGTTGCACTGAGTGTTAAAATGTTCTGGTTAGGTGTCAATGTTTCTGCATCTGAGTGATTATTTGACATGTTTTATGTGGCAAGGTGTGTTTAATGTGTAGTGCTCATGTCTTGACCTTGGATCTCCACAAGGGGGCAGACACCTGCATGGCCTGCTGTATATTCTCACACAGTTAAATGAATCCCTCATCATGTTACTGAATAGAACCATTGAAGTAGAGGGAGCTCCTCTTTGGCACTCGGATCACCTCAGAGCCAATGTGAACGCTCTGCAGCCTTGGCCTGGTGTCGGCCGCTGTTCATCCCAAGTGAAGGGGGAAACTCGGCCAAAACAAGGCTTGACAACATTTGTCTGACAAATTAATTCACAAAGAAAATCAGAAAGTTTGATGATGATGGGCCACAGAATGGAGAAATCAAATGATCAGATTGTTGTTAACACAGGCTTGTTTTTTAAAACTGTTTCAGATCAAAACATCACAGCTCAGGGATGATGTGTGTCTGTGCTCAATCCCACAGTGTCCCATCCTGCTCACCATGTGTCCTGCAGCCTCCACGAGCTGACCTCTGACCCTGACATCTACACTGTGCCCCTCGATGGGCAATGTGGTGTAAGCGAACATGTAAGCACACTTCTATTGTGTGTGTCAGTCCAAACGTACGCAGGCCACCGATGAGGTGGCTGAACAGGCCGATTCTGTTGGTGGAGGGTTGGCTGTCCTCCTGTCAGTCCACTCCTATAGAAGATGTGCTGGTTTTCTAATCCCATGTCCTTGTTAGGGGTTTCCTCTGCCAGTGGTTGATCTGTGCCAGGTCCATGGTGTCTCCTCACTTCAACAAGACCATGACAACTCTCCTGTCAGGTGATCTGAGAACCTCCTCTGGCTATGAAGTCAAACATTTGCATTGCAGCCATCCATCCAGTATCTATAGCGCTTATTCCCAAATAGGGCTGTGGGAGGGCTGGAGCCCAGCCGACATTGGGCGAGAGGCGGGCTCCACACTGGACAGGTCGCCAGTCTGTCACAGGGCTGACGGGTAGACAAACAACGGAGGGCTGGAGCCCAGCCGACATTGGGCGAGAGGTGGGCTCCACACTGGACAGGTCGCCAGTCTGTCACAGGGCTGACGTGTAGACAAACAACCACACACCCTCACTCCTACAGGCAGTTTAGTCACCAATCAACCTAAACTGTTCTAGATGGTTTCTGCTGCTGTGGGATGTTTACTCCTTTAAGTTTCATTGGTTCTTTTTTCTCACCCACAATGCACCAGAAATGATTGCTTGGCCAAGAACATGCACATCATCTACAGAACAGTGGTCTGCTGGTCAAATAACAAATTAGTCAAACTGGACGTCAAGTTCATACACAAACCCTGAAGATCAACGTGATTGTTTTACCTTCAGTTTCACTGATGGCGACACATGGATCATATTAAGTTGCATCTCTTTAACCTCTACTGTTAAAATACAGCTTACAGCTACTCAGATGTTTAGTTTTCCAGAAATCACAGCTTCACTATCTCAATGTGTCGGATATCAGAAGTGGAGCGACTGTTTAGACTGACCTCTGCTCATTTTTACCTACTGAGTCGGGATACGCTGCTGCACACACACCTCCAGCTTCTGGGCCAGTGAGAACCAAGCTGCAACCCTACATATGAATTGGTTATTGTTGAAATGCAGTGTGTGTATCCGCTGTGGTGTTAGATTTGTCTTATGCTCATCAGCTGTGTTGATCCACAGGTTGACGGACTGTAGCTCCTCTCCAGGTGAAGTGAGGCTCCATGGGATGGATGGGCCTACTCCACCTGCCATGCAGTCGAAACCACTCGCTGTGCAGCTGAGGATTGCCACAGGTGACCAGTTAACTGCTCGGTAATCTCTCTAATCGGTGAACCAGATCTTCTTTTCTCTGGGAGCAGCAGTCCAACTTTTGTCAGCTGTGTTTTTGTATTGTTTTCCTCGTAGACCAGAGCTTCTCCAGCTACCACCCTGAGGCTCATCTGCCTCTCAGCCTTGTACAAGGCCACCCCCTTTATTTGGAAGTGAGCCTACTGGACCCCCCAGATCCTGACCTAGTGCTGCTGGTTCACTCCTGCCTGGCTTACACCCACACTCCATATACCAGCTGGATGCTCGTTTACGATGGGTGTGTTGATACAGAGATAGACAAACGCTGTAACAAGGATTAATCTTTGTGCAGTGGCGTGTCCTGGCAGCTTTCACCTAGATGAGTGGTTACACCTTACTGGGGTCTTTTCAAAGGATTGTTAAATTCTTAATTCTGGACTGATTCCCCTTCACGGTTTTATAGATGCAAATCTAAAGAATTTAACTTTTATCCCCTTTCGGATGGTTAAACGTGTTCTGTCTTAGGCCTACAGATGATAATGGTTTACACTGAGCTGCAGGAGTCATCAGGCCATGTATCTGTTCTCCTTTATATCCCAGTTTAGCTCATTAATTTAGTTTAGACGATCTGAGCAGCCGTCTGCAAATTATGGGGGAAAAAAAAATCTTAACAGATTTAATCCAAGCATCAGATTGCAAAGTGTCTGTGGCCTCATTTTACAGATGCTGGGTGTAAAATCAATCAAGTCGGTTTCATTCAGTGTCTGCATTAGAAACTCCTCATGAGGGTTTGTTTCATCGTCAATTTTTAATTGTGACAAAGTTGGATTTTCATAAGTCGCATGAACCTTAATGGTCCCTTCAGACAAATGTAGTTGGCAGATGACAGTGGACTGTGTTCCTAATCCTTTGCTTCTAAATATTTCATGGGCTTTTCTTTAGAGCAACACATGGAAGGTTTTCTTTTTAAGCTGTGGGGTGTCAATAAGCTTTCAGTCCTAAACCTCTAGTAAATGCTTTGCATCTCATTTCTACTTGATAAAAACTAACAGTCCTCACACAACTGTGTGTTTAGCTGCACCAGCCTGGATGATCCACAGCTGCTTCCCTCTCCACACTCTGACCCCCACCACATCCGGAGGATCGTCATCTCCAGCTTCCTGTCCCTGCCGTCACATAGTCCCTGGTACCTGGCTGGAGTAGGACATGCTTACCTGGACCCAGAGGTACCTCCAACGTGATAGACAAATTAACATCTGCTGGACTCTGGTCTTTTGATGTGACGAGCTGCTCAAGTTCAGGCCTGTGATTACTGTAATTATGTAACAACCGTTTCACCGTTTTGCATCTCGTCTCACCTCAGGTTTACTTCTTGTGCTGGACAGAAGTGTGCTCCCCTGCAGATGCTGACTGCTTTGTCGGCTGCATGGACGGTAAGTTCAACGCTGTAGAAACCAGGGGTTGATTCAGGGGTTCATCAGGAGGTGAACGAGCTTCTTATGTATTTGTTAGAAATGTACTGGTCATTTGAAAGGTGCAACTCGACATAAAAATCCTTGTGTGATTAAATCCTGCTAATGCCACAAACAGTTAATCAGTGATGAACTGCATAGTTACTACTGCATAGCTGCACAAGTGGGCTCCTTCAGTGGTTTTCCTCCCCGTTCTGCCTTTGGCCTCGGTGTCGGTCGTGAGGAGGCGTCATCACTACATTAACTCCCTTTTTCCTCACAGGTCCCAACAGTGACGTGTGAGCAATGAAATAAAGACGCTTACAAAACTGCACTTGTTTGTCTTTTTATGCCAGAGAAACCCTTCTATAATATTTATTTCTTCCATTGTGAAAAACAGTGCAATGCAGCATTTAGTAGTACAGAGAAGGAAAATACACAAGCAGTTCAAAGCGTAAACATAAACAAGGCACTTAATACACTTTCATTTGGTCACAGAAGCTGTAAAAAGAACAGCGCCCCGAGGGGGTCGGCTTCACTACAACGGGTTTTAATGGCATGGCAGCAGGGACTTCTTCTCAATATGACATCACCGTTCACCTAATGCTGCACAGCTCTGACACATGCCATTTAAAATGCTGATGCAGCAGGTTCGACAGCCTCAAACAGAACCTGCAGAATATTTCTGTGACAAAGTCCTTGACTTGATGTCCTGGGCCCCTCTGAACACACATCATCAGCACAGGACATGAAGTGGAATGTGGTTTTCACAAAACTATGGTAAAGAAAAGCTGCTCTTGTGGAACGATACACCTCTGTGGAACAGAAAAATGAGCAGTAACAAAGCAGGTGTCCAGTCGCTGCACTGAGCTGATGTGAAGGGCAGAGTGGTGGTGGAGGCGATGATGACGAAAGAGCCCATAAAAAGTTTTGACTAAACTTGGAATAAAAGCTTATGAAATGTTTAAACGGATGTTAAAGAAAGCCTTCCCTTTTCTATTTGTACAAACATTTTAACACAAACAGTGGCTCAGTGAATGACTAGTACTAAAACAGCTTTCTAAGAACTGGAACAGACGCCTTCTAGGCAACTCTCACAATAGCTCAATAACTCACACAGTATGTTTTAGAATATAAAAAACACATTTGAACAAAAGTTAACAGTTCACATACAGAGGAACATCTTTAAACACAGATTCGTTGGTTGAGCCTGAATCCCAGAGATGATCTTCGTTGGTGAGGCTGAAAACGGCATCTTCTTAGTACACGGTGGAATAGTATGAAGAGATCGTCTGATTGACTTTCTTGATCTGTTGCAGGAGGACGATGGAGCAGACCAGGGCAGTAATCTGTCACACAGAAGGAGGAGGGGCAGTGAAGGGTGGGGATGGGACAAAGCTGTGCAGTGAACAACCTGCGTCCTCATGGCTACCAGGATTAAACCAGCCACCGAACGAGTTAGAGAGAGACTGCACCTGGCAGCCCCCTGCTATCGGTCTGCATGCAGCCACAGAAAGAGAAATAAGACACAAAAGGGAAAAATCCAACCCTGGTAGCTTTTAGAAATTATCTTAGTGAAGAATTGTTGGAAATTAGCTTAATGAGAAGCTCTTGTTCTCTGGTTTTAAAAAGCTGGATGCTGACACATTCTCCCACTGCAGCTGTGTTTAGATCAGGGGTGTCCAATACGTCAATCACAAAGGTAGTGTTGGTAGATCGTGTGCCATTCAAAAATAAATTAGGTGTATCCGGCGTAAAGCACGTGCCAAATGTTAACATGCGAATGGTCAGTGTGACGATTCGCTGTGGCGACCCCTAACAGGAAAAGCAGAAAGTGACAGTCATTCATATATAGCCTATCATCCATTTGCTACTTGATTGACATGCAGGGCAGCCAGTCTGAGATCTTGTCTTTTGACACACAAGTCACCAAACATGCACAGTCAACAGCACGAGCTACTGCAAAACTCCAGTGAGCGAACTACCTTGTGCTGGAAGGCTGCTTCCAATTAATTTCTACTAAAGGGTATAAAATGAGTGGGGGGGCTGAATCAAGTAAGAAACCGAAAACATTCCATGCAGAATGGGAGGAGGACTTTTTTTTTCGTGATGTTATATTCGAAGTGCGTTTGCTTGATCTACCATCACTATTCTGAAGAAGGGAAATGTGGAGTGGCACTTTTAGACTGTTCATAAAAACTAGAACACTCATTCATACATATATTTTGTGTGTGTGTGTGTGTGTGTGTGTGCGCACACATGTTTTTCTTTTTGGTCAATCATTTTGACTTGGTCATTTGAAAAGTAGCTCAAGGCAAAAAAGTGTGGCCACCCCTGGTCTAGAGAATCTTGGCACAAGCTTTACTTTTGGCCAGTTACGGACTGAGGAACAAGTACAGTAGCAACAACAGTTGGAACTGTGTGTTTCAGGGAGGATTTTTCCTTAATAGAGAGATGAAGGCGCCCTACAGTGACAGTGCTGAAAGACATGGAGGAAAGGCTACGTTTCTATCACGTACGGCAGACAGCAGGACAAGCAGGTGCTAAGGCTGAGCCACAGGGAGGTTGACCGCAGAGAGGGGGGTGAAGATGACTGGGTCCTGGTCAGGGTAGGGGTAGGAGGTGGAGACAAACTGCTGCTGAGATGGTTGAGGGTTGGCCAGGACGGGAGTGGAGTGAGTCAGGATGATATACTGAGGTGATGAGACGGACAGCTGGATCTTTTTACTCAGAGTGATGCTGCAAATCAGAGCTATAATCTTCAGGGAGCAATGATTGGAAGGATGAAAGAGAGAGAGAGAGAGATGGATTTTTAAAGCAAGGTGGGGGGTGATTAAGGGAGACAAGGGGGGGTGCACAGTCGTTAACTTCAAGATCAACAACAGTAAAAGAAAAATAAGCTTGTGTGTAGGCGTGCAACTGAACGGAGCAGCTTTCTCCAAGACACAAGGCTCACTTTCCCTCTGAGGCATCGGTCCATCTGTATTTGGATCTAATTAAGCACTCAACACTATCACAGTACGCACTGTGTTGTGTGCGGGTAAAGTGTGTACTTGCAGTATTAACAAGGCTCATCGTTTTGCTGTTCACCCAGTATAAACATGGTAGAGTCTCCACCTGCAGCTCTGTGAGACAGACCCAGGTGCAGCAGTGTGTCGGGCTCAGTGCTAACGTCCGCATGCTAACACCAACAAGTAGCAGGTGTTATGTGTAACACGTTCACCATTTTGATCGAACGCTGTGCCATCACTGCTGGTGGCACAACAGGTCGACACTTTAGGTTCAGAGTGAAACGTCACGACAAGTTTCAGATATGACACCATTAAACTCTCAGAGTCCCTAAAGATTAAACTCTGACTCTCACTTTCCATCTACAGCAGCGCCATCTAGTCAAAATGTCCCTTTTCCAGTAGATAGACACGAATCCCCACAGGAAGTTCAGCTGAAACGATGAGGTACACCAGGAAAGGTGTGAAGGTGTTGAGGTGCAATGACATAGACATTTATCCAATCACCAGCGACTGCTCTGTGTGCACTAACCCCCCCTCCCCCCTCTTGTCCCTGGAGCTTCATTTTACTACTTCCTTCTGAGGGGGGCTGAAATTTAGCTCCCATAATGCACCTCCAAAGCAGGCGCACCGTAATGGAAACAGACAGAACCTGTGACGAACGTTACTGGGTACGATCCACTTTGGTCGGTTCCTATGATGGAAAAACCCCTTTGGTGCCATTAACAGTCTGATTTAGACTCGAGGTTGGTAGAGTTTTATTCCGTTTTCTAGTACTTACATATTAACATAATACATTTGTTGGATTTATTTAATTTGCTAAACGATGAGCCAGTGATATGAAATGTTTGAGTGTATGTTCTGCTGTCATCCCCTTGGTTTTATGACCTAGAGACTGACACATTGCCTCAGCTCTTGTCCCTGCAGCCACTGTAACCTGTTTCACTGGGAGCCAATCAGAGCAGAGGATCTGAACCCGTCTCCTGACCGGTCGTCTCGTTCGGAGCCTCCACACAGTTCATTGGCGTCTACACTACATCTCAGATAGATACTGCAAATGCATTGTTTCTGTTGAAATGGTAACTTGGTTCACTAACTACAGGAATGTGCATGTGCCTACCAGCAGAGCTGCAGTTCCAAGGAACAACCCCATCACCAGTGGTGCTCTGCTGTCAAAGACTTCACTGATGACCCCGGGACATGTCTGTAAGAAGACCACGACAGGAGAAACTGTGAGCACCCTCTGTACTGTAGTTAACCCAAAGTCCACAGTTCAATTTATTCTGTTTTAAACAGAAAACGCCCTACGATGATACCAGTGTCCTGAGCGAACACAGATAATCACACGAAGAAGAAATTAAACCTACACAGTATCTTCATTAAAAACAACTTACAGGCATGATGAACATCTCAGAGAAGCTCCCTGGATCAGGGCAGGTGTGTTGGGCCACCTCTATTATCGGGACCCCCGTCAATCCACAGCAGTGAAGCTACAGGCAGACGAGGAGGGCGATGAACATCAAAACAGTCAGCAACAGACATATTTTACATATTATATCATCACCGAAGCCCCAGAGCGTTCAATATTAAATAAATCAATGTGCAATTATGAAACAGTGACCACACAAAAAGTACAAACAACAGCTGTGAGTTACACTGTCAGTTTGTGCTCACCGTGTTGTGGATGAACATGAGAGCGACACCAATGGCTGGGTCACCTTCACCCTTTATATACAGCAGATACAGGGAACTGTAGAACTCTGCAGCCCTCGATCCAACCTTAACAACGATGGAAACACAATATCATGGTTAAAAATGCCAGGAAGATACAGATCTCTGATCCCAGTTTGCTCTTCCTCCTCTCCGTTTCCCTCTCACCTCGTAACGCTTGGTGTAAACGAGAACTCCGACGACAACTTCAGCTAAAGCCAGAATGGCCAGAAGAGCAGTGAACTGAAAGGAGAGGAAGAGGTCAGTGAACTTCAGTGAGAACAGGTTATTAATCTGATAAACAGTTTGTCCCAGTAGAATGCAGGTACAGGGACTTTAAAAACCAGTATCTCTACTCTTATAAGGCATCTATAACTAAGCTAATGTAGAAAGAAAACTATTCTGTGCACATATCAACTACAACCCCAAATCAGAGGAAGTTGGGACAGTGTGTAAAAACTGAACACAGTGAATCATCTGAGTTACATGGAAAACAACACAGCAGCACATTATTCGATGCGACACCTCATCGACTTTATTCTTTATTCAAAATAAACATTTCAGTCCTGATGCTGCAACGCGTTCCAAAGTCGGGTCGGCTGCATTTCAGGGCCAGTGATGAGGTGAAACAATGAAATGACGATTCCATGTGAACCAGGTCATGTCAACAGGTGACTGCATCATGACTTGGTACACCAGTGGCGTCCAGGAAAGGCCGAGCCCTTTAGGAGCGAAGATGGGCCGAGGACCACCCGTTTGCCAACATATGTGTGAGAAAGTTATTGCAATGTTTAAAAACAAGGTTCCTCAAAGAAACATAGGAAGGATGTGGCTCTGTGTCCCTCTACGGTGCAGAACATCATTAAGAGACTCAAGGAGTCTGGAGGGATTTCAGTGCGTAAAGGCCGATGGCCGAGCCTCAGCTGGATGACCGAGCTCTCTGATCCCTCAGACGGCGCCACATCAAGAATCGTCACTCTGCTATCAGCGATATAATCACATGGGCTCAGGATGACGTTGGCTCACCTGTCAGGCACCACAATATGTAGTTACATCCATAAATACTGCTTAAAACTGTGCTGTACCCAAAGGAAGCCATGTGTCAGTGTCCAGAGGACGACTGCTCTGGGCTCAGAGACATCTGGGACGGACCATCACACAGTGGAAACGCGCACTGTGGTCAGACCAATCAGTGTTTCAGGTCTTTTTGGAAGGAATGGACGCCGTGTGCTCCGGACCAAAGTAAAGGACCATCCAGACTGTTACCAGCAACAAGTCCAGGGTCAGTCATGGTCTGGGGTCGTGTCAGTGCCCAGGGCAAAGGTCACTTACACTTCTGTGATGGCTCCATTAATGATGAACAATACAGAGAGATGTTGGAGCAACATGTGCTGCCTTCAAGATGACGTCTTTTCCAGGGACGCCCATGTATATGTCAACAAGACAATGCAAACCTCAGAGTGCCACATTACCAAGGCCTGGCTGTAGAGGACAAGGGGACGAGTACTGGACCGGCCTGTCTGCAGTCCCCACCTGTCCCCAGTAGAGAATGTGTGGCGCAGATTGTGTCAATGAAGTCCCAGGACTGTTGCACCTTAAGATTTGTTTGCAGGAAGAACGGGACAAAATGACACCTGACACAATCGCTTGGTGTCCTCGGTCCCTAAACGTCTTCTAAGTGTTGTGAAATTTTCAGTTTTGATTTTACATACCATCCCACCTTTTTCTGATTTGCAGTTGTTCTCCTGCCAAAAACTAATGACTCATGGATCCTCTGACATGTTCAGGCTGATACAACGACCGCACCGGGGAACGTCTCCATTTTGTGTCACAGTGACAGACGGCATTACATTCATACAATGTTTATGTAACTGATTCAGTCACTGATGTTCAGATTTGATGCATTATGTCAGCGCTGTCTCGCCATGTCGACCGGTTGTCTGTGTACTTTTCTAAACTAATGAGAAACAAGCAAATGTTCCAAGTTAGTTAAGGCAGGGGCAGTTTGTTTCCCCACAAGATGAAGCTCAGGAGAAAGAGATACTATGTCAAGGTCAGAGATTATACACTGTGTCAAATTATTTTCATTATGCTTCCCTTCCTTTGAGGAAGAACTGGAAACAGAGAGAGTTATGAATCATGCTAATTATGTGGGGAAAACAGAGACAGAGTAGCTACACCTGCAGACTGTGAAACTGAAGGTACGCTATTACAGGAAGGAGTGAAAGTCAGCGACGAACATGTAAAAGTGGAGGGGAAGGAGGAGGAGGGGACTTTCTCTGTGCTGTGTGTTGTTCAATCCATAAAGGGGTCAGCACTTTTAAGTCTGGTCTGAATCTTCTGCCAGGTAACCACCTCGACACACTGCAGAAACCAAACTCACTGTTGTTCTTTTTTGCTGTGCACTCCTTTGCCGTTTTCCTTTTCTGTTCAGCACACATGCCTGGCCAGTGTTCTGCCTCCGTGCTGTGTAACAGTTAAGGAATGTCTCTGAACTCTCCCACTGAGATAAACTGGGGGATAACACTGGAAAGCACTATTACACAGGAAATCAGGGGAAAGGAAGTGAAAGTCTTTGGCGGTGATTCACGTACACTGACAAAACTCAGCATATTTGATTTTGAAACATATTTTAATTCTCATCCGACAGTTTCTGAAGCCTATGTTTTGCAGAATCCCAAAGATTCACAGAGCTTTGCCTCAACAGAGGCTACAAATAACTGAAGAGACCTCCTTTCCTCCCTCACATCCTGCCAGGATTGCGGGACACTGGGATAATTTGGGGCAAAAAATCTGGAGAAAGGTGTGTGTGCAGGTTTCAGGAAGTGAAGTTTGAGTGATTATAGTGAAGAATGAGACTGAACATGTGGTGGTTTGAGACACTGTCTCTTCATTCCCTGTAAGAATGACGACTTCTTTGTATTAGTTTCAGCCTTTGTCCTCAGAAACCACAGCAGCTGAACCTTAGGAACCTCACACACACAAATTTAATACAGTTATGCAGAGTCCTACTGGATGAGGTGTGGAATCAGGAATGGAACAAAATGAGGCACATCAGTGGTTTTAGTTGCACTTCAGACTCTGTGTCTTCAGTGTCTCTGTGACACTGCAGGTGTGACTTTGTACCTTATTCAACACCACTTCAAGACAAAGTAAAAAAAGTCTTACCACTATCAGAGCACATCTTTCCTCACTGCAGGCGACATAACCTCCAACCATCACCACAAACAGCATCACACACCCGAGTATGATCAGAACTGTCACACCTAATGCAGAAAGACACATCTGTGACTGATTATGAGTCTGAAACATAAAAGTATCCTCATGCTTTTTTAAAGACATGACACAAATCTGTGCAGAACGCAAACTCACCCACAACAAATGTGCTTGAGTCGAAGTCATGTATTGTAAAGATGACTCTGGTGTTGTCGCTGAACCTCAGCCACAGGCCCAGGCCCAGACAGGCAAACCCCACCAGCTGCCAAACAGGAAACAACAACTACAGTGTGAGAACACAGCAGCCACATCTGGAATCTTCTGAAGTCAGTTGTGGAATTTTGGAGAACCAAGATTTCTGCATTGCACAGGACCTAAACAGCAGGTTGCGTGTTGCTGATGCCGCCTGCTACACAAGGAAAACCTTTAAGTAAACCAAGTGCAGAATGAGACCGACCGTGGCACAGCTAGACAAACAGCCACGTAATCTATTCCAAAGGACTGGTAAACAGCTGGTAATCAGCTGGTAAACAGCTGGTAAACAGCGCACACAGGGACAGGAACACGGGTCAAATCGGACGTTTTTCTTTATTTAAAAAACTACGCAGAAATATAAACTTACCGCGAAGATGACGTTGAAAAAGATGAGGATACATTTGCAGAAGGCGCCACATCCATCCAGAGCCATGGTGAGCTGCGCTGTGTTGGGCTGCGCGTCGGTCAAGTCTGCAAGCTGTAGGAACCAAGTACCTCGTTGTTTCTGGCACAATATACGTATATTTAAACACACACAAACATATTATAACGTAACCTTTATGATTACTCGGTATTCTAGCAGTAAATTCCGTTTTTTTCCTACGGGCCAACGTTTAACGGTGTCTCGTTTGAAGACATTATAGATTCGAGGGGAAAATGAGCACAAAGGAAAGAAATACCTGTTTGTACAGTGCTGCTGTTCTGCTCCTGTGGACGGAAACTACAAACCAACCACAGATCCAAATCCCCAGTGCGGATGCGTTCCGTTTTCCAGCGTTTATGTGCGTCTTGCCCCGCCCCTTCGGACTTTCTTAGTGCTCTCATTGGCTGAGAGGAGTGACTGACATGAAGGAGCAGAGGAGGGGCGAGGCAGAAGGTGAAACGAAACATAGGGAAACGAAAGCAGTTATGCTGCGACTAATATAAACGTTTAGTTTGTTCATTATGTCCTAACCCCCATTTTTTTTCCATTATTCTGCTAAACTCCGACCATGAAGAGAAACAGACGTCATGCTGAAATTAGCCTGCTTCGAAATAATACAGCTCACTTTTGATTCCTGAAAAAGTGAAACTTAAGATCCAACTGGGAACGAAGAAAGCAAACAAAGGGCACGAAACGTGGGGCTAGCCCGAAGGGATATAACGTATAGGCCTGGTGGGTTCAGGGTCTTTCATCTTTCAGCTGCCTGTGAGCAGTTTGGAGGTGCAAGATACCTGAGCGTGTAATGTTAATTTTACCTGTGATCCTTTGATTAAATCAGCACTGTTTTGAAGTTACTTGGACTGTCTCGTCTCTCAGAGTTAGCATGGTAAGAAGAACCAAAGACCAACACCTGTAATAACCACTCAGCCTCTCAGGTCGATGAATGTGGTGTTGTGTGTCGGTTTTCACAGAACTCAGTGTTAACACACATAGGCACCACCGCAACACCATGTGCAGGCTGTAAAACCTCATGTAAACACTTATCTTGTCTTTGAAATCTGCTAAACACTACTCAAGTGCTTAAGTACAAAGGTATCTGTACTTGGGTATTTTCATTTTCTGCTGCTTCGCTACTTTTTACAGAAAAATATTCTGCTTTTTTACTCACTACATTTGTTTGATAAATGTAGTTACTTACTTACTTTTCAGACTGAGATTAATTAAACAGATTACATGATATTGAAGATCACCAGCTACCCAGGATACAGTACACACCTATTGTCCAGTAATATGATGCACACTAATGTGAATGGTGCCATTCTCTATAATGAGTACTTTTAGTCCTTTAAGTATATTTTATGCTAATAGTTTTGTACTTTTACTTGAGTAACCATTTAAATGCTGGACCTTTAATCGTAACAGAGTATTTGTACACTGTGGTATTGCTACTCCTACTTAAGTAAAAAGTCAGAGTACTTGTTCCACCGCTGACAGGGACATGGTTCAGAACTGAGGCTGACACTTATTATTGTTACTGACTGATCCAGTGAGTATTCTCTCCATTAATCGAGTTCTCTAAACGGGAAACACGATCTTTCATCTAAAATCCAAAGATATTAAATAAATAAAGCAGCAAACCTGAGAAGCAGAGATTGGAGAAGATTTGCCTAAATGATAATATTCTGTTTCCATCCACTATGATTAATTGTTTCCGCTCTAAAAAGAATTTGGGGGTCAGGGGGTATGTGTGTTTCCGCTCTAAAATGAATTGGGAGGGGCTGTGTGACATTTCTTAGCACTGAAGCCAGAGGTGACAAACCACAAAGTGTGAGTGTGCAGGATGTGTTCAAAGTTCAGATGGAAACGAAAACCGTTCAGTGTTAATAGCACTCTAGGATAGTTCACTACCGGTGTACTATTAAAACTTCTGTGTAATTCCTGGGCTCCACTATCTCCCAGGACCCCCCCCATGCACACACACACACACACTCACACACATAAATAAGGTGTACAACGCACAAATGCATGTAAGGTAAAAGGTAGACATTTTATCTCTAGGGCAGATATTCCACTACCTCTGTATGAATTTACCATTTCCTGTGCAGGACTATGGTTCTTGTTACCATTGCTAACTCTGAGAGACGAGACAGTCCAAGTAACTTCAAAACAGTGCTGATTTATTCAAAGGATCACAGGTAAAATTAACAGCTATTTCTGAAACTTGGATTAACACTGTAAGGGGAATGGATTTTGACCTTGGAGGCTATGACTTGGTCTGCACAAACAAAGAATAAGATGGGAGGTGGTGTGGCCTTGTACATAGATAAAAACTTTTGTTATAAGAAGGTAGACAAAATGTCTATGGTAGTTGATAATTTACTAGAATGTGTGACTGTTGAATTACTTTTGGAAAAAAAGAAGAATGTTGTAATAAGCTGTATCTACAGAGCACCTGGAGCCAGCATAGAAATATATTTAATGACTGGATGGAAGAAAATTACTCGTCAATAAGTCATAAATTGATGTTTATATGTGGAGACTTTAATATAGATTTGTTGAATCCTAACAAGCAGTTTATACCCAACAATTACAAAACCAAGTAGATTAACAACCCAGCATGCAACACTAATAGATAATATATTTACTAATGATATTGATAGCAAAATGTCTAGTGGATTACTTATAAATGATATCAGTGATCATTTACCAGTATTTTTGGTTTATGACTGCCATGTTAGAAATGAAAGGCCAAAAACAAATCTTTTTTATAGGAGGGTG